GGCAAGGAGGGCCTCTCCCCACCATTTCGCTTGCAGCCTCTTTCTGACCTGCTCACTCCCTGCTCTTCTCCAGTGGGGGAACAGGGCAGGACACAGGGACTTGTCCCACCCTGGCCACATGGCACTGCAGACAGAGGGTGGAGTTGGAGCAAGCAAATGGAACAAGGGCAAGCCCCCACACCTCCACCCTGCTTCCTGGCAGGTGCTCTGGGCAGAGAGAGCAGGTTGGACCACATGAGTGCCCATTTTTCTGGAGCCTCCCCAATTGGTCAGGATCCCTGGGCACTAGCCTTATTGGCCCAGTGGCTATTTTGCTACTGGTTGCACCTTAATAATTGTAACATTCATTTTTTTCTTCTTAAAATCAAGTCAAAATTAAAATCAACTAGAACTAGGCAGACCTACCATTTCTTCTAGCTTACATCCTGAGAGGAAAGTCATTGCTCTGCTAGGAAGAATTCTCTTGGGCTTCCTGAAAGTACTGTCAGGAGTTGTGCTTTATTAAGGCTCTCATTTCCTACCATTGCAGCAACTCTCTGACATTCCTCCCAAATATTCTACTATTACTGCCTACAAACGATTAATTGTATTTGCTCCTCCTATTCCAGAGGCAGAAAAATTGTATAAAAAGTGTCTCCTCAAAGTAAAATGAGGAAGAAAATATATATTAAATCTTAAGAGAACGAAGAGGCTGCTTAACTAATATGGCTTCTTGCCAGGGACTAGGCAATTCTATAATGTTAATACTCATTAAAACCCCATAGCCAATTAGTGATAAAATTACTGGATTTGTAATGGTCAGAAGCAGCATCTAAAAACCACCTGGAATAACTCTATAATTAGAAGCTGCTAGGATGCTGTTATGAGAGTAATGAAAACTACAAAGCACAATGTGCTTCTTTTTTAATCGAATGTGTCCTACACAGAAGTCACCACTTGGTGGCAGGACAAACTCTACTTAATTATCTCTAGAGGCTCTGTGAAGCATTGACTCAATACTAGGTATTAGTTGAAGCAAAATACAGGACTATGTAGCACTTTAAAGACTAACAAGATGGTTTATTAGATGATGAGCTTTCGTGGGCCTGACCCACTTCCTCAGATCAAATAGTATTAGTCTTAGGCTACATCTAGACTGCAAGCCTCTTTCGAAAGAGGCTTTTTTGAAAGATACTTTTGAAAAAGCCTCTGTCGAAAAAGAGCGTCTAGACTACAACCAGTACTTTTGAAAAAGCAAGCTGCTTTTTCAAAAGAGAGCATCCAGCATCAGCCGGGTGCTGAGTGTTTGTAGGGTTGCCCAGCATTTTCGCCTCCTGGCCGGGAAAAAAAATCAGAAAATACCAGACATCTTAGGTGTCCGCTATTTTCTGAATTTTTTTTACCAGACAGGAGGTGAAAATACCAGACTGTCCAGGTGAATACCAGACACCTGTCAACCCTATCGGCATGCCCTAATCCCCGGGCATGCTGGATAATAGGTTTTACCGTATATAGTATCATGAAGTGGGTTTTCTCACGTTGTTTTTAAAGTTACAGACTAACATGGCTTTCACTCTTTGGCTTTTATTTGACTTTTTAAATGACAACACTATTGAGTCATGCCTTTTTTGGAACTCTTCTCTCATATCTACCCGGATGTGTATATTGCACTTGTGACCATAGTATCTAAGCACCTGGGACACCTGAATACACTTTTGCCTGCCTAAGAAGCTGCTGATCAAAATGTCTCAAACCCTGGAATTAAGATGAGAACTTTAAACATTCAAGTATGAACTTTCTGTCTGCAGGATAAGCTGCAATGACATGCCTCTCTCATGCACATGCCCACCACTGGAGTGGGAGGCTGGGGAAAGGGAACAACTGTCCCAGGAGTTGGCAATTCAAAAAGGCTCAGGGCTCCCAGCTGCTGCTGCAATAGCAGCCATGACACCTGGGCCCTTTAAATCATCACCGAAGCCCTGAGTGATTAGCTCTGGGTAGTGCCAAGGGCAAACCCAGAACTAACAGGCTTCATAGTGCTAGGCTCACCTTAAGCACTGCCTGTTTTCCACTCAATCTTGTATAGCAGGGGATGGCACGAAGGCCTCCCTCCCTGCATGCTAAATATCTGCCATCTCCTTTATTTCACCTTGCTTTCTAAACCTCTTCCTGCTAGTGGCTTTGTCTTCCTCTTTTTAGTTATCCAGACTTCTTGTTTTGTGTATATAATTGTTGCATAAAAAGCATCCGCCTGAGCAATTACTTGATTGTACACATACATTTTCTGGAAATACACTAAACTGTAAGGTCCTGCCAATATATGACTTAGAGACTGACAAAAACCTCCTGCTGGAGGGCAATTATCTTCTAAGTCACTTCATTGCTGATGATTTGTCTGCATTGCCTTTTAAACTCTGAAACTCATTGTAATCTTTGTTAAACCTTGCAACTGGCTGTAATCCTTGTAAAACCTTGCAACTTTGTAACTCTCAGCAATTTTGCTTTATAAATTCAGAAACTTACTGTAAGCTGCAACTTTGTAACCTTTGTAACTCTCAACCACTTTGCTTGTAACTTGCTCTAAACTGCATTCTCCTCTGACTGAATGGGGGAGGTGGGAGGGGAAGGAGAGAGAGAGTGAGTGAGAGAGAGAGAGAGAGATGATGGGCACGTGGCATGGTGAATAGTCATCAGACTGTTACTCTGCTGGACCAAGAGAAGTCTGGACATGCTCTCTGGTGACAAAGGTGGATGAGTCACAGGAGCTGTACAGAGGCAATAAAAGGAGAGAGCTCGTGGCAGAAACCTTCTTTCTCTATTTCTTTCTTTCTGAGAAGAAGCAGCTAGTTTCTTTCCTGACCAGGGGCGGCTGGCCCACAACATTTTGGCTCAAATGACGTCCCCCATGCCTCCTTGCTTGGGCCAAAACTTTGAAAGGTCTCAATTCTGCCTTCTTCCTGTTCTACTCCCCTCATGGTACTGCTCTGCTACCTACATATGCACCACCAGCAGACACAATTTTCTACATTCTGTCGAAGCAAAAACCCTCCTCTCTGGTTAGGCAGCTATCAAACAGCTTTATTAATTAATAAAGCACAGCATGAACCAAACGTGGTCCCAGCAAAGCCAGGCCCAGTACGGCTGCTTAATACAATCAGTCCTAGTATCTTTATACCCTTAACCAGTCTGACGTCAGGGCATCCAATTACAGAAATCATCAATTAAACTTGGAAAAACAAAGTCTTATCAGCAAGATGGCGGACAGGTACGAGGGAGTACATCTCCTGTCCCAACCAGCCCAATTAACACATACCAATAAGCCCATCCTGTAGGCCTCTTCTCACGGGGTGACAGAAAGTTCACTCTGGTCTACGTGATTGAGAGAAAAGCTGAAATGGTTTCTGTTATACAAGATGGCTTCTAGCTAAATAAGAAATGGTTTCTACAGTTTCTACAACTCCCCCCTTTTAGCCTTTTAAAGGCTAATCTTGCAACCATTTTATACGTCCATTTCCATTAAAGTATTTATGTACATTTCTTGTTCCTTTCTCTGCTCATCATATTTTAACATCACGAGTTCCACATTCCCTTTAGTAAGGGTCTGTCTTGTGTTTTCCAGACTACAAGAAATACAGCAAGGCTGTGTCTACACTGGCCACTTATTCCAGAAAAGCAGCCGCTTTTCCGGAATAGCTTGCCAGCTGTCTACACTGGCCGCTTGCTTTTCCGGAAAAGCAATGATGATCTAATGTAAAATCGTCATTGTTTTTCCGGAAAAACTATGCTGCTCCCATTCGGGCAAAAGTCCTTTTCCGGAAAAACTGTTCCGGAAAAGGGCCAGTGTAGACAGCACAGTAGTCTTTTCTGCAAAAAAAGCCCTGATCGTGAAAATGACGATCGGGGCTTTTTTGCGGAAAAGCATGTCTACATTGGCCACGGACACTTTTCCAGAAAAAGTGCTTTTCCAGAAAAGCATCCTGCCAATGTAGATGCGCTTTTTCCGGAAATACTTATAACAGAAAACTGTTCCGTTTTAAGCATTTCCGGAAAAGGGTGCCAGTATAGACGTAGCCCAATTGATTAACAAGAAACAGCAATAAGCACAAAAGAATATAGCCAATACTAAAACTACACCTTGCAAAATCCAAGTTCCCACATGTCCAAACCAGCCTCCCAACCAACCCCAGAGGGTCCAGTTTTCCTCCTATCTTAGGCTTTCCACAGTTTTTTTTTTTAAATCTCTGAGACATCTTCCTCTACTTCCTTGCTGGTGTCCGTAATATACACACAGCATTCTCTTCCCACTAAGGCACAAATCCTGCCCTTACTTGCTATGACATAGTCTAGGGCCATTCAATTTTGGCTTTTTCCCACCCTGGCTCCTGAACCATTACATGTCCAGCAGTACTTTCCAATTGGGGTCAGGGCTAGGCGGATAAACCTTGGGTTAGTAAACCCTTTATCCTGCCAAGTATCATTTGGCTTAGTTCACTAAACAGTGTGCCATATTTGAGTGTTATTTGGCAGAACCGGAATCATTGGTTCTCCTCCTGAATGTACAGGACTGTGAGCACATATTCAGCAACCTGTGGAATTAAATTCTTGAGAAACTTGGTTCATTAAAAACATAAACACATTTGAACCATATAGGTTATAACTGCTAGGTATCAAAAAACAAGATTAAGCATAAGTTCAACATGAATTGTTTGTCCAGCCTCATTCTGGCTGTTCTTCAGGACTTCGTAGTTTGCTTCACCTATTGCTGGCAGGTTCTTCTGGGCCGCAGCTGGTACCTTGGCCTCGGTCTCTCAGGATCATCTGCTTTTGGGCCTGGATTGCCAGTACCAAGGCTGCGCTGATCCCCGTCTGCTTCTGGACCTGTGTCTCTGGTACCAGGTCTGCAGTGCTCCATGTTGGGACCAACATTTGTAGGGGCTGGAACCGGTTTGCAGTGGGATGCATTAATCCAGGTGGGCAATCCCTTGCACTTTACAGCAGTATGGGTGGTCAGAAGGACTTGGAATCCAGGGCCGTCTTTCGCTGGTGAACCTTTACGCAAACCCAGTTTCCTGGTTGTAGTTTAAGGCATGGCTCAGTCGGGGCCTCCTGGAAGGCGTCTTTAACCTGTGAATGATAAGACTGTACACACCTCATAAGTTCCTGACAATACTTGACTATGCTTCCTTTAATAAGTGTGGCATCAGCCAGGTCAATTTCTGGGCTGCTTGACAGTCTCATAGGTCAGCCACATGCAATTTCATGTGGACTGAGTCCAGTTTTCCGATTAAAAGTGGCTCTCATGCTCATTAGGGCAATCGGGAGTGCTTCTACCCAAGTTAAGCCAGAGTCCTTACATATTTTAACAAGTTTGTTTTTTTAAAAATCCCGTTTCATCTCTCTACTGCTTCTGAGTGTTATGCGCAGTGCAGTGCTTGTCTGATAGAGTAATACTTTGCCAGTTTTTGAACAATTTGTCTAGTGAACTGGGTACCTTTATCACTGGAGATCACAAAGGCTATGTCTACACTGGCACCCTTTTCCGGAAATGCTTAAAACGGAACAGTTTTCCGTTATAAGTATTTCCGGAAAAAGCGCATCTACATTGGCAGGATGCTTTTCTGGAAAAGCACTTTTCCCGGAAAAGCGTCTGTGGCCAATGTAGATGCGCTTTTCCGGAAAAAAGCCCCGATCGTCATTTTTGCGATCGGGGCTTTTTTGTGGAAAAGATTACTGTGCTGTCTACAGTGGCCCTTTTTCAGAACAGTTTTTCCGGAAAAGGACTTTTGCCCGAACGGGAGCAGCATAGTTTTTCCGGAAAAACACTGACAATTTTACAGTAGATCATCATTGCTTTTCCGGAATAAGTGGCCCAGTGTAGACACAGCCAGGTGTATTCCCTATGATGGGTTGTAATGATTTAGAAGTTTCTTTGCCACTGTGATGGCATCAGCTTTCCTGCAGGGATAAGCTTCTACTCATCTCAAAAACAAGAAAACAATAACCAGCACACTATTCAAAAGATTGACATTTAGGCAATTGAATAAAGTCCAGCTGTAAATTCAGGCATGGTCCTAAAGGCGGAAGTCTGGTTGCTGGAACTGTCTTTACAGGTTTACCCACATTGTGGGCTTGGCAGACAGGGCAAGCCAGACAATAATCTTTGGCTGCTTGGGAGAATTTGGGAGCAAACCAATTTTTTTTTTAAAGGGTTGCTACCATCCCCCACTTCACCAACATGCGACAATCCATGGAACACGGAGGCAAGGTGAGGTAGCAAGACCACTGGGGCAACAGTGCTGCCGTCAGAGCTGCACCACAAGTGGTCTGGGTGCAAGGTGCACCCTGCCAGTCTCCACTCCTGCTTTTCCAATTCTGGGGCTTGGTCTTGCAGGAGGGCCTGTTAGAAAAAAACCTGCTCCCCCTCCCCTCGCCAGTAAAAAGTTTGGCCAGGCCGCTCTTGCTATAATGGGCTGCAGTACTCCTCGGGAAAAACCGGCCGCACCCTTCCTGCATACCATTGCCTTTAGAAAAAGGGAAGGTGTGAAAAGGGGAAAATAGCCTCGGACTCTCCCACCCATCACCTTGGCATGAGAACTGTGGGGCTTACCTGGTCGCATGAAACCTGCTCAGTTTTGGCCCAACCCCTGGGACACAGACCCCCCACTTGGTAACCATTGGGCTATATATGGTAATATGCAAGCGCGGGAAAGCGATGTGCAGATTTGGGGATAAATACCCATCGCACAGTTCGCTCGAGGAGGTCTTCAAAACACATGTACCACCGTGTGTGTGCCTTCCTGTATACTTCAAAGCGCTGCCGGCCTGATCAACCAACCAGCCACCTCCCCCGACTCTCAGGCGTAACCAAGGCCTTCACAACCGAACCGATATCTTTGAAATGTTCCGTGTGCTGTGTAAGTTGGTATGTATGATTTGATTTTTCTTGTTGTATAAGCTTAGTGTTGTAGTTGTTTTGGGTAGTACATAGAGTTTGTAGTTATCACTGTTATTTAATTAGTGTAACTGGATATTTTTAGAATAGAGTCTATTCCCCTCGCCATTCCCATCCTTATATCTCTGACACGTTTAACTAGAAAACATAGAATAAATATAATAAATACTGTAAATTCATTATTAACATGGTCTATTAAAAATCTCAGAATAAATACTATAAATTCATCACTGTTATAAATAAATATTTTTTATTTGATAAAACGGTCCACCTGGTTCTGTCCTTCCCCCCTTGGGTATGCATCATCCGACCTGTGATTCTTGCGACAGGCCAATTCCAACAGAGACGGCAAAGGAGCTGGCAGTGGTAGGAGAGAAGGGGAAAATAGCAGGTAAAGGAGCAGATTTCACTACATTTCAGACAGTACAAACTGCATAGCCTGCTACTAAAACTCCATTAGAATTATAAAAGCAAAAAACCATCTGTGTAAAGCACAAAGTTAAGATTATTCAAGGGACTTAAATTATTCTTTCATTAAAACAACAATATTGTACACACAACGTTTGAAATCAAATACATATATCACAATTAAGGACACACACAAGACAAATCTGGACAGAACACAGAACACAAACTTATTGGCTGTGTCTAGACTGGCCAGTTTTTTCCGGAAAATCAGCCGCTTTTCCGGAAAAACTTGCCTGCTGTCTATACTGGCTGCGTGAATTTCTGCAAAAGCACTGACTTCCTACTGTAAGAAATCAGTGCTTTTTGTGGAAATACTATGCTGCTCCCGTTCGGGCAAAAGTCCCTTTTGCACAAAACTTTTGCGCAAAAGGGCCAGTGTAGACAGCTGAGATTTTTTTGCACAAAAAAGCCCCGATTGCGAAAATGGCGATCGGGGCTTTTTTTGCGGAAAAGCGCTTCTAGATTGGCCACGGATGCTTTTCCACAAAAAATGCTTTTGCGGAAAAGCGTCTGTGCCAATCTAGACACTCTTTTCCGCAAATGCTTTTAACGGAAAACTTTTCCATTAAAAGCATTTCCGGAAAATCATGCCAGTCTAGACGTAGCCATTATGACATGACACAGAACCATAGTTTTTTTTTCTTCAGTTAATTTTCAGCTGATATTAGCACTTTTTGATGATCTGAAAGACAAAGAAAACTTTTCTATCCACATTGGGGTGGTGCATTATATTTTAGAATACTTTTCCTTTACAGATGTTTTTGCTACTTTTTGATCAACCTGCTGTTACCCAATGGTATGCTTTTATTCTGCACACCAGCTTTAGAGGGGTGAGTAAATTACTTAATTGTTTAATTATTAAATTAAAGGTGGCATGCCTCAGTTTCCCTCTTGTACTGCAGACCAGGCTTTTTTTAATGTGTGAAGCTTCAAATGATTTACTGCCACAGAAAATTTTTCTTAGAGCAAGATGCTTGCTAGTTAGTATTCCAGCAAGCAAAGAAAAGTTTTCTTTTCCTGAAAATAATCACATGCAATGTTACAGGCTTACTTATGGGGGACAATGCCCCCCCCCCCTTTCCAGAACAGACAGGCAGTTTGCAGACACACACAACCTTGGATCTGAAAGCAAGCCAAAAGTGCTATCAACTCAGCCTGGAACAGAAACACCATGAAGTTTCTGGGCTTGGATTTTTTTTTTTAAACAATAATTAGTTTCTCTTGGAAGACACATTTAACACTTAGGGTGCAGGTTTTACAAATTTACGATGTATAAATTCTATTCTTTTATGCGGTTAACCAAATAAGTTTCAGTAGAATTCCTTATTTTCCCTTTAATAGATTTAACAAAGTGTCTGTAGCCAAATCTTTAACTAGATGGTTTCTTTGCTCAGATGATTAAAAGAGGCTACATGAAAAAAGGAGTCATTTTTAAAGCAGTTTTTTTTCCTTAGGATTTGGAGGAACACTTTCCTTAAACTGTTAAATTTATTTTAAACTTGGTGTTTTGCTTTGGATCGGGCAAGTTTGTTACAGGTGCCTGTGTTTTCAAAGGGAAGAGCTAATTCCTTTCAGTTATTTTTCATATTTCCTCTTTATCTGTGTATGCGTTATAAAGAGGGGTAGAGGGGTGATGTTGTGCCGAATTCCCCCCTCCCCCCAATCTTGGTTGATACGGATGTGCCAACTGAGAAATCTCTCTTTTTTTTCCCCTTCTTCACTTCTTGTGCATTATTTTGGCACAGAGGTGGTACAGCAAGTTTGTAGGTTACCTATCTTACTGCAGGGCAGATTTTTGCTTTTCTGAACTTCACTTTTATCCCTCAGGGCTTTAATTTTTCCTCTTTTCCAATTTGTTAAATGCTTACAGGTCCTTGGACCATTATGCACGTACATGTAGTACACAGGGGTGCCTTTCAGCAGTGTGAGGGGGGTGTTTAGACTAACCCCCCACCTAAACTAACTCTACACACTCCAAAGAAAGAGTCTGCCAGGTCTAGAGTGTCAGACCTTAGCAGCTCATGAAATAAGGGGTGTCGTCATTCCCTCACATATTTGCTGAGTCTTGAGGTTCAGCTGACTCCCCCTCCCCCCCCCCCCTGTTTGTGTCTCTCTCATCTCTCGCGCGAGTCGTGGAAGAGCCCTGGTGCAGCTGGGATCAGCTCAAATCTCAGACCTATGCAGCGGCATTCAAACTTCACTCATTAAATTCATACTCATTTTCCATACACATTTTTTTTCTACAGTTTTCACATTTAGATGCATCTTTCTTTACTGTCCAGTTCCCATGGGTTTCTATTAAGTGGCGATGCCCTATGACACCCAGCACTTAATATCAGACTTCATTAGGATCCTATACCAGGGAAAACCAGGACACTGGAATTTCTGTAGACTGACCTACCCACATTTTCTGCGCGCGTTTTAAAAGATTCTGTAAGGTACCGAACCAAAAGTCCGCCTGCTTACACTATTCTTCTGCGAGTCACCAAATCAGAATCCGCTTGCTCACACTGATCCCCCCCCTTTTTTGTTGTGAGATGCTGGACCAAAATCCACCCGCTCACAGGGCTTTCCGGCACCCACCCCAGACCGACAGAACACCACGTCCTGGCGCCTGGAGACAGCCTGACGGAATGGGGAAATACTATGGCCTGGGGTTAGCCTCAAAGGTTAGTACTATGTCCACAAGTAAGAGAGAGACAAAACAAAGCTTTCCCACAGTTCCATGTGCCGAGAGAGTGTAATGGCACCACACCAGCTTTTAGCGTCCGAACACAGAGGGTCCAGCGCATGGCTGCCTCACTAGAGACACCGGTGTGCCCTGAAACACATAAGACAGGCCTAATAGACAAAGACAGACACAGACAAACAAAATGTTAGCCGCTCCACAAAATTGAATTCCATAGCTCCCCTTACCCCAATGGCCAGCTGTCACTCCAAATCCCAAGCCCTCAACCAGGAGATTTCATAACAGGTATCCCCTTACCTTCTATTGAGCGCTCTGAGAGGTTTGGAAGTGGAGTGCAGACAGACACAGACAAACAAAATGTTAGCCGCTCCACAAAATTGAATTCCATAGCTCCCCTTACCCCAATGGCCAGCTGTCACTCCAAATCCTAAGCCCTCAACCAGGAGATTTCATAACAGGTATCCCCTTACCTTCTATTGAGCGCTCTGAGAGTTTGGAAGTAGAGTGCCAGTCCATCCATACAGGCAAGTGGTGCGTTAGGAATCTCGGTGGAACCTCCAAATTGTCAAAGCAAAAATGCTCCTCTCTGTTTAGGCAGCTAACAAATAGCTTTATTAATTAATAAAGCACAGCATGAGCCAAACGTGGTCCCAGCAAAGCCAGGCCCAGTAAGACTGCTTAATACAATAAATCCTAGTATCTTTATACCCTTAACCAAACAGTCTGACGTCAGGGCATCCAATTACAGAAATCCTCAATTAAATTTGGAAAAACAAAGCCTTATCAACAAGATGGCGGACAGGTACGAGGGAGTACATCTCCTGTCCCAACCAGCCCAATTAACACATACCAATGAGGCCTCCTGTAGGCCTCTTCTCACAGGGTGACAGAAAGTTCACTCTGGTCTACGTGCTTGAGAGAAAAGCTGAAATGGTTTCTCTTATACAAGATGGCTTCTAGCTAAATATGAAATGGTTTCTACAGTTTCTACAACTCTGGGTCCTAGTGGTTCCCTCCCCCCTCCCCCGCCACAGTCTGGCACCTGGGGTGGCCGCCTCAGTTTACCTCATGGTGAGGCCAGCTCTGCCTACTTGGGGCTTAAAGAATAAAACCACCCGGCGATGGAGAACCACCTGAGGACTGTCATGGGGCTCTGAGAACATGACGGAACAGAGACGAGATGTCAAGATTGCAAAGTAATGAAGGTGTGTGTGTGTGCTTGTTTGTTTGTGTGTGAGAGAGAAATAGCTGGTTCCCCTTTAGTCTAAACCTTTGGTGGCAACTCTATCTTCTTTAGTTTTATAATAAATCCATGCTAGTGTAACCATGGGTGGTCTCCAGGGAGAATTTTTTGGAGTAACAATAACGGCCACATTTGATCATTAATCCCCCTCTTTTCCCTACTCCAGTCCTATGTATTTTACCTTCATTTTCTGTTTATTTCAGCTGTAAACTTTTCAAAATAGGAGCTTGCCTTTTATTTGTTAAGTCTCTATAATATCATGCAAAGTTATAGTACTATATAAAACATTCTATATGCATGTATCTAGGAAATGCTTCTGAGTCTCTGCAGGGAAAGAAAACAGAGTCACTATTCTACTGAAGCTAGAGGGAGCTAGTTCTCCTTTGTTAACTCATGCTAGAGAATCTCATTATCTATTAGACAGATTATCAATGTCCTAAATTTTTCAAGTTGGAAACATTCAGGGCACGTATACAGGCAGTCCCCGAGTTACGCGGATCCGACTTATGTCGGATACGCAGTTACGAACGGGGCCCTCTGCTGGAGACCAGGGAGAGGAAGCAAAGCGGCGGAACATAAGCTAAGCTAAGCTGTGAGCAAGAGGTAGGCCCCTGTTAACAGAACTTGGCACAAACAGGGCTGAGTGTGCAAAACACTAATTGGCAATAGGCCCAGGTGTAGAACAGTAATTGGTACTGGTCATAAGTTGAAATCACATGGTACCATTAGCTCATTAAAAGACCTTGGTACCCATTCCTCACAGATACAAACCCAGGTTCAGGAAAGGGTCTAAAATGACAGTATGATGGATAGAGATGATCTTATCAAACCATGAGATACAGGGTGATGGGGTGGTATCTAAGTAGTGCCAGCGGGTGGCAACCTGACACGTCAGCAGTGATGTGTAACTTGTTTGTACCTGTATACAAAGTGGTGTCTTGGAGGCACAGTTTTTGTCCAGCTGGGGGTCAGTGGGAGTTTCCCAGTGGTTGTGCTGAGGCCATTGTTGTAAGTACATATGAGTGGTGATTTGGTAGAGTCTACTGACAATTCTTAGTGTACTTTGCTTAACGATAAACCTGGCCAGGCGCCTCAGATCCTTATCTGGTTTGTGGTCTTTGGGGGCCCTCTCAGGGTCTGCGGTGATCATTGGGCCCACATCATTGAGCACACATGCAAGGAACCTTCTGGTTAGCCATCATCGACAGAGCCAGAGACCTGTCCGGACACCATGGCAATAAATCCTCCTGTCTACAGTAGTGTCTGAAGAAGTAGAGGAAAGAGAAAGAGGATCATGAAAAGAAAAATATCTGGCTGCTGCTGTGTCATGTCACAGGAGATGGGGTAACAATAAAGTTAATCCTTTGAAAGGGAAGCTCTACCAGAAAACATTTAGGAACAACTGCGCTAGGATGGTGTACTCGCAAACAGCCGGGCAGCAAAGGGTTGAACTACAGGCAGTCCCCGGGTTACGTACAAGATAGGGACTGTAGGTTTGTTCTTAAGTTGAATCTGTATGTAAGTCGGAACTGGTGTCCAGACTGATCAGTTTCAGCAGCGGCTGAATCTGGACGCCAGTTCCGACTTACATACAGATTCAACTTAAGAACAAACCTACAGTCCCTATCTTGTACGTAACCCGGGGACTGCCTGTACACTACAGGGTTATTTCAAAGTAAGTTATTTCAGAATAATAGCTCCTGAAATAACTATTCCAAAATAACACGTCCACACTACAAATCCCCATCAAAATAGCATAGATCTATATTGAAATACCACCGCCATACTGAGTGGAACAGGAATTGCATTTAAAGCGCCCCAGAATCACTCTGGGCAGGGCATCAGGATAGCAGTCACTTCCTGGAGCTGCCTCTGAGGCTCGTGCTTAAAGGGGCTCAGACCCTTCTCCATTGCCTACCTTGTTGAGGAACAGCAAACACCACAGCATGTGCTCGGATTGTCCGTGCAGATGCCACAGCACTCCTGCCATGGAGCTGGACCTGTTGCAAAGTGGTCACTGGCTCTTAGATCTGTTACTGCAACTCCCGGAGCAGTTTATTCAGGCTGTCCTTGTGGCACTGCTTGAGGACAACAACCAGCCTGGAATAGAGGACCCCCTCACCCAGGCCTAAGTGCTTCTCATGCACCACATTCCCTCTCACCACCACCCCCACACACTGTGCACCACCACTACTGGCGCTGGGAGACCAGTACCAACTGGTGGGACCAGATCGTTATAGAATGGTGGGACAACAACAATGGCTCCTGAACTTCGCATGCGGAAGGACACTTTCATGGAACTCTACAAGTGGCTTGGCCCTGCCCTCTAGGAATGGTGCCTGCCTCACGTGGTCCCACTGCCTCTTGTGCGGGTCCGTTGGTGGCCCGGGGGGGGTGTGGGCAGAGGAGGTAGGAGTGGGTGTGTGTAGGGTTGCTGGACTACTCCATGGGGGCAGCCATGCACTCAATGGCATTGGTGTAAGCCGTGCACATGCTTTCATGCTGCTGGGTCAGCTGCTCCCAGATGGTGCAGTGCAGCTCCCAGTCAGCACTGCTCTCCTGGGTGGCCCTCCTCAAAGTTCCTATTGAGGGAATGGAGGCACTTCAGGTGTTCCCATGCCAGGTTGTCCGGGGGTCGCCTCCACCGGCAGGTCTCGCAGAGGTGGGAGGATGGCATGGGAGGAGTTGCACATGCCCCACTCGCAGTTGGTCCCACAGTGAAGAAAAGTGACAAGAGCAGTCATCCTGGCTGGTAGGTATTGTGTCT